ACATTAAAAGCAGCAAGAGAGAGAAAAAAAATCACCTACGAAGGAAAACCCATCAGGCTATCATCAGATGTCTCAGCAGAAACCTTACAGGCCAGAAGGGAATATGGCATGATATATTCAAGGCAATGAAACAGAAGGGCCTTGAACCAAGAATGCTGTATCCAGCAAGATTATCACTTAAATTTGAAGGAGGGTTTAAACAATTCCAGGATAAGCAAAAGTTGAGGGAATTTACCTCCCACAAACCATCTCTACAGTGTATTTTTGGAGGGACTGCTCTAGATGGAAGTATGCCTAAGGCTAAACAGATGTCACCAGAGAAAATAAAACCACAGAAAAAAAAGTATACCAACCAAATACTAACTAAATGCAAAATAAAATCAGCTATCCACAAAAATCAGTCAAGGGAAACACAAAGAGTACAGAATAAAACACCTAACATATAAAGAGTGGAGGAGGAAGAAAAAGAAGGGAGAGAAATAAAGAATCATCAGACTGTGTTTATAATAGTGTAATAAGTGAGTTAAGTTAGATGGTTAGATAGTAAAGAAGCTGCCCTTGAACCTTTGGTAACCATGAATCCAAAGCCTGCAATGGCAATAAGTACATATTTATCGATAATCACCCTAAATGTAAATGGACTGAATGCACCAATCAAAAGACACAGAGTAATACAAAGGATAAAAAAGCAAGACCCATCTATATGCTACTTACAAGAGACTCACCTCAAACCCAAAGACATACACAGACTAAAAGTGAAGGGATGGAAAAAGATATTTCATGCAAACAATAGGAAGAAAAAGGCAGGTGTTGCAGTACTTGTATCAGACAAAATAGACTTCAAAACAAAGAAAGTAACAAGAGACAAAGAAGGACATTATGTAATGATAAAGGCGTCAGTCTAAGAAGAGGATATAACCATTATAAATATCTATGCACCCTACACAGGAGCACCTACATATGTAAAACAAACACTAACAAAATTAGAGGAGGAAATAGAATGCAATGCATTCATTTTAGGAGACTTCAACACACCACTCACTGCAAAGGACAGATCCACCAGACAGAAAATAAGTAAGGACACAGAGGTACTGAACAACACATTAGAACAGATGGACTTAACAGACATCTACAGAACTCTACACCCAAAAGCAGCAGGATACACATTCTTCTCAAGTGCACATGGAACATTTTCCAGAATAGATCACATACTAGGCCACAAATAGAGCCTCAGTAAATTTAAAAAGATTGAAATTCTACCAACCAACTTCTCAGATCACAAAGGTATAAAACTAGAAATAAATTGTACAAAGAAAACAAAAAGGCTTTTGTTTTGGAGGCTTAACAACATGCTCCTAAATAATCAATGGATCAGTGACCAAATTAAAACAGAGATCAATCAATATATGGAGACAAATGACAACAACAGCACAAAGCCCTAACTTCTGTGGGACTCAGTGAAGGCAGTTTTAAGAGGAAAATATATAGCAATCCAGGCCTATTTAAAGAAGGAAGAACAATCATAAATCAATAGTCTAAAGTCACAATTATGGAAACTGGAGAACAAATGAGGCCCAAAGTCAGCAGAAGGAGGAACGTAATAAAGATAAGAGAAGAAATAAATACAATTGAGAAGAATAAAACAATAGAAAAAATCAATGAAACCAAGAGCTGGTTCTTTGAGAAAATAAACAAAATAGATAAACTCCTAACAAGACTTACTAAGAAAAAAAGAGAATCTACACACATAAACCTTATTAGAAATGAGAAAGGAAAAATCAAGACAGACACCACAGAAACACAAAGAATTATTGGAGAATACTATGAAAATATATATGCTAACAAACCGGATAAACTAGAAGAAATGGACAGCTTTCCAGACAAATACAACCTTCTAAGACTGACCCAGGAAGAAACAGAAAATCTAAACAGACCAATAATCAGCAATGAAATTGAACTGGTAATCAAAAAACTACCCAAGAACAAAACCCCTGGACCAGATGGATTCACTGCTGAATTTTATCAGATATATAGAGAAGACATAATACCCAGTCCCTTTAAAGTTTTCCAAAAAGTAGAAGAGGAGAAAATACTTCCAAACTCATTCTATGAAGCCAGCAGCACCCTAATATCAAAACCAAGCAAAGACACCACAAAAAAAGAAAATTACAGACCAATATCCCTGATGAACATAGATGCAAAAATACTCAACAAAATATTAGCAAACCAAATTTAAAAATACATCAAGAGGATCACACACCATGATCACGTGGGATTCTCACAGGGATGCAAGAATGGTACAACATTCAAAAATCCATCAACATCATCCACCACAAAAACAAAAAGAAGGACAAAAACCACATGATCATTTCCATAGATGCTGAAAAAGCATTTGACAAAATTCAACATACATTCATGATTAAAAACTCTCAACAACATGGGGATAGAGGGCAAGTAGCTCAACATAATAAAGGCCACATATGACAAACCTACAGCCAACATTATACTTAACAGCGAGAGGTTGAAAGCTTTTCCCCTAAGATTGGGAACAAGACAAGGATGCCCACTCTCCCTGCTTTTATCAACATAGTACTGGAGGTCCTAGCCACGGCAATCAGACAACACAAAGAAATAAAAATCATCCAGATTGGCAAGGAAGAAGTCAAATTGTCACTGTTTGCAGATGACATGATACTGTACATAAAAAAACCCTAAAGAATCCACTCCAAAACTACTAGAACTAATATCTGAATTCAGCAAAGTTGCGGGATACAAAATTAATACACAGAAATCTGTTGCATTCCTATACACTAATGATGAGCTAACAGAAAGAGAAATCAGGAAAACAATTCCATTCACAATTGCATCAGAAAGAATAAAATACCTAGGTATAAACCTAGCCAAGGAAGTGAAAGACCTATATGCTGAAAACTACAGGACACTCTTAAGAGAAATTAAAGAGGACACTAGTAGATGGAAATTCATCCCATGCTCTTGAGTAGGAAGAATTAATATTGTCAAAACGGCCATCCTGCCTAAAGTAATCTATAGATTCAATGCAATCCCTATCAAAATACCAACAGAATTCTTCAATGAACTGGAAGAAATATTTCTAAAATTCATAGGGAACCACAAAAGACGCCGAATAGCCAAAGCAATACTGAGAAGGAAGAATAAAGCAGGGGGGATCTCGCTTCCCAACTTCAAGCTCTACTACAAAGCCACAGTAATCAAGACAATTTGGTACTGGCACAAGAACAGACCCATAGACCAGTGGAACACAATAGAGAGCCCAGATATGAACCCAAGCATATACAGTCAATTAATATACAATAAAGGAGCCATGGATATACAAAGGGAAAATGACAGCCTCTTCAACAGTTGGTGTTGGGTAAACTGGACAGCTACATGTAAGAGAATGAAACTGGATTACTGTCTAACTCCATATACAAAAGTATATTCAAAATGGATCAAAGACCTGAATGTAGGTCATGAAACCATAAAACTCTTAGACAAAAACATAGGCAAACTCTCTTGAATATAAACATGACAACTTCTTCATGAATGTATCTCCCCGGGCAAGGGAAACAAAAGCAAAAATGAACAAGTGGGACTATATCAAACTAAAAAGCTTCTGGACAGTAAAGGACACCATCAATAGAACAAAATATACTCAAAAATGATGTATCTGATGAGGGGTTGACATCCAAAATATACAAAAGCCCACGCACCTCAACAAACAAAAAGCAAATAATCCAATTAAAAAATGGGCAGAGGAGCTGAACAGACACTTCTCCAAAGAAGAAATTCAGATGGCCAACAGATACATGAAAAGATGCTCCACATCGCTAGTCATCAGAGAAATGCAAATTAAAACCACAATGAGATTTCACCTCACACTAGTTAGGGTGGCCATCATCCAAAAGACAAACAACAACAAATGTTGAGGAGGCTGTGGAGAAATTGGGACCCTCCTACACTGCTGGTAGGAATGTAAATTAGTTCAACCATTGTGGAAAGCAGTATGGAGGTTCCTCAAAAAACTAAATATAGAAATACCATTTGACCCAGGAATTCCACTCCTAGGAATTTACCCTAAGAATGCAGCAGCCCAGTTTGAAAAAGACATACGCACTTCTATGTTTATCGCAGCACTATTTACAATAGCCAAGAAATGGAAGCAACCCAAGTGTCCACCAGTAGATGAATGGATAAAGAAGATGTGGTACATATACACAATAGGATATTATTCAGCCACAAGAAGAAAACAAATCCTACCATTTGCAACAACATGGATGGAGCTAGAGGGTATTATGCTCAGTGAAATAAGCCAGGCAGAGAAAGACAAGTACCAAATGACTTCACTCATCTGTGGAGCATAAGAACAAAGCAAAAACTGAAGGAACAAAACAGCAGCAGACTCACAGAACTTTACAATGGACTAACAGTTGCCAAAGGGAAAGGGACTGGGGTGAATGGGTGGGAAGGGAGGGATAAGAGGAAAAAGGGGCATTACGATTAGTACACAGAATGTAGAGAGGGCACGGGGAAGGCAGTATAACACAGAGAAGACAAGTAGAGATTCTATAGCATCTTACTACACTGAAGGACAGTGACTATAATGGGGTATGTGATGGGGACTTGATAATGGGGGGAATCTAGTAACCACAATGTTGCTAATGTAATTGTATATTAATGATACTGAAAAAAGAAAAAAAGAAAAAAAAGAAAATGACTGGATAGAAAATAGAAGGGAAGTCATGTGGTTATTACTATTTCAATGCTTTGCATTTAAAACTAATGGAATTATTTTTCTTTGTTCCAAATTCACCCAGATTATAGTATAGTACAACACATGCTATCAAGGATTGTAATGAACTAAGAAGTGGGTATTTCTGATAATAGACAACTAATATTTTAAAAAATAGTGTTTCAGGTCACATATACAATCTGATTTCTAAAGCAAAAGCCAACATAAAAAACAAAATTGTTTTGCCTACCATAAATACCCTTTGGGTCCAGAGTAATACCAGCATAACTTTCCTTTCTGATACCTTCTGGCTAAAATAAAGACAGAAAACATTCAGGTTAGAACATAATCAAATCTATGTGACCTGAATTCTTGGATTAATTTGCCCATTTTCCAATTTTTAAGAAATCCCCCTTTTTTTTGAGAAGGTGAAATATGTTTATTTATATATACATGTAAGAATAAGATTTTCTGGTTATTTGCATGATAATTAGAGCAAACAATCTAATTTAAATTATTACATAAATGAGGTAATTGATTTAAGTATGTATCAGCTCATATAACCTCATGTAACACTCTATGAAAAAGGTGCTCTTATTACTCCCAGTTGCCAGATGAGAGAGATCAAGAAAATTAACCTTTGTCACACTGCTAGAAGTGGTGGAACCCAGATTCAAACCCAGGCAACCTGGCTCTAGAGTCTGCATGGAACCACCATGCAAAGATGCATAGAGCATGCTTTGCACAAAATAAGTCAGTACATATTTACTGAAGTGAATTTTGTGGCTGAAAACAGAACTAAGAGAGTTGAAGATGTAGAACGACCCCTGTTCTGCCATTCACTAGCAAGACTCTTATCTTCTTAATAAGATAGCCTGAAAACACTCAACAGACTATATGGGTAAACAGTACTTAATAAATTATAGTTTTCTTCCTTCTTTAGCCTGTTTACTCATTTATAAAATGGAAAATTTTTCTAGACTGTTAATTCTAAACTATAAATGCATGAGCTATGTCTTATTAATTACTTTATTTCCAGTACCTTCACAGCACCATGTCTGGCATGTAGATTTCAAGGCACACTTTGTGAGTGTGTTGAGGGGAAAATACCTTGAAGGCTATATGCCAAATTGTTAAAATTGGATATTTCTGGGCATGGGAGTTATTGGTGATTTTTTTCTTTCTTCTCTGTGGCTCTTCAGTATTCCATATTTTCTACAGTAAACTACTATCATCATTTTATTTAAAAATTTAAAACATAATTTCAGACTTAAGGAAAGTTACAAAAAAATCTGATAACTTTCACCCAGATTCCCCCAAACGTGAACACTTTATTACATTTATGTTTTCATTTTTTCTGCCTCTCTTTCTGAATCACTTGAGCGTAAATTATTGACAACTTTTTTTCAGAACAAAAAAATTGTTAAAGAGAATCAGAAAAAGCATGTTTTTCTTACCACCACTCGTAATGTTTTTACTAAAATTTCTTTTCCAACTGAAGTCTCCAGTGAAAAATTGATGTTGTGGAGGCCAATTTCCAGAGGGAGCACAGTGAAGGTCACCCAGTGACTGGAGGAACCCTCTATTTTCTGGGGCAGACATTTGGAGGACTTTCTCCCCCGATGTTCAGTGGTTGAGCTTCCGGTACAGATCCCCTCCACAGGAGACATTTTAACACAGAACTGAAATATCACCAGTAAACAATATATCAAAACACTTTGTGAAAAGGAAACCATGTCCTGACTGTGTTTAATTGGATACAAACTCTCCCCTGGTACTTTTACAGTGTTAAATAATCCCTTAATTCTAAGGCAAAGTAGAAAGCTCATTTCAGTTCATCTAAAACACACACAGGTTGCTGTAGAGCCTAGCGTGAAATGTCTTACTTTCCTTAGACTGTTACCTAACTATTACCTATGAAGCTACTGAAGATCTTTGTTCGTGTTCTCATGATATTATTTGTTGCACCACCTTACATGTTTGCATTTTAGACAGCGGGAGTCCCAGGCTCAGGTACTCTGTGTCTTATTCATCTTGATATCTTTTAGCATTTAACAAATGATGGTTTTATGAAAAGTTAAAAACTCCATCTCTTGGCACTCAAGGCCCTGACCAATTTGTCCCCAACTTACTTTTCCAATCTCATCTCATATTAACTTCCCATTTATACACCATGTTACAGCCAAACTCTGGCTCCAGAAAGACCTAAGTCCAAATCTTGACTCTGCCTCTTACTGTGTGTCAAGAGCAGGTTGCGTTATCTCTTTAACTCTCCATTTCCTCACCTTTGTAACCCTCCATTTCCTCACTGAGTTCTGGCTCAAGTGAAAAAAATTGAATGTTTTCCATTTTCCCTCCAAAATCTAGTGAACTAACAGAATTGAGAACTATACCCCAAAGGATAAACCCTTAAGATCCAGAATAAATCAAGCAGGTACACAAGAAAGAGTGCCAACATTCAACAACTAATTTGAGGAATTTCTCAAAAATGGAAAGGTCCTTCTTCTTCTTAACTATCTTCTTGAGAAACACAACAACCTGGGTGGTTGGGGCAGGAGCTAAAGAAGCCTATTGGGTCACCCAAAGCCAATCATTCTCCCAGGACAGCAGGGGTAGGGTAGGGAAGGATAGATACAGAAGAATCAGTTGATAAAATTCAACATAAATTCATTCTAAAAATTCTTAGTAAATTGGGAATAGAAAGGAACTTTTGAAGCTGAATATATTTAGTTTTCAGCTACAGAATTAAATTAAAATCAATTTTAAAAATCTATGACATTGGTCCTACTTTCAGTAATAGCTAAGTAGATCTTATTGGATAACCATTCTGCAAATAGTAACTATAATTTCTGAACAAAACATATATTTAAAAAAACTACCTGAAGTCACTAGAGAGTGGAAGAGAAGATGACAGTCACAAGAAATGACTGATGATGGTGAAAGTCCTATTTTTATAGTTCTGACCTGAGGACAGGCCCCATTAATACCTTGAGTGGTGGCTAAATCCCTCATAGAAACTGCCGTCCTACAGCCTGGGACTGAAGTACTGGGGGACAGAGTATGGGGCAGCCACAACAGCTGAAAAGTGAAGGGGCTCCAAGTACACTTCATAAACTTTGCCCAAACCCAGGTGGTAAGATGTTTGAAATAGAAATTTTACAGGGGATGACAAAAATCTACAAAGTGAAGATGAATATGAATGACTAAAGTGGAGGAAAGGGTTTTAGTGGCAAGGAGATCATGGACCTTAAAGTCCATGGTGAAAGTGAACTAAATGTGAACTCATCTTTCTCTGGACCACCACAGCACAGTGATTATCTTATAGACTTGTATTCTTTAAATTGGAGTTGCATGAATATTGTCTTAACTCTTACTCTTTTCTTCATCCCTCCACTGAGTTGAATTTGTATGTGTGTGTGTGTGTGTGTATGTAATAATTCAGTTAAGAGAATTATCAGAAAATCAGAGAATTCTTTTTTTTCCACTTATTTGAACATATCATAAACACATACTTACCTGCATTCCAGATGTTCTGTAGTTGTAAACAGTTCCTTTTAACTGAATCTGTTCCCCTCGTACAACAGAATATGGTATATTCATTTCCAGGAAAACGTCTTTGAACACTTGTGCCTTGAGAGTATCAGCCACACATATACCTTCAGCCCAAAGAGAAAACAAAGTAGAAGCATATTAGGGAATTCCTATAATGCCTTATTAGTAGTAACATGTCTCAGATTTGCTTTGCTTCAAAGAAAATGGAATATTAGACCAGTTTTTCTCTGTACTATCACCCCTTGTCCTTGAATTTCCTATTTCATTGATCTTTAGTTTAGTAGTTATTGGAATTAACAGAAAACTTTATTTGTCCAACAAATACTTAATTCTATTTAAGCATTAGAATGCTTATCAATTAAAGAAACAAATCTATTTTTATATATTCATTATTGGCTCCATTTAATGGGTATAAAATTTTGATTGTGTAAAACCAAGATTTTGTAAAACTAAAGAATAATGAACAAACAAAACCAACTCTGAAGTTATTTATAAACTATCTGCACTACATCACCACAAAAAGGCATCAGCAAAGGAGAGAAGTTGTGTATTTGTTTCTAACTCTATTCAAGTACCCAGTCACTGAAAAAAATGAAGGAAAATGGGGAATTGATACTAACATTTATAAAATGATGGCTATTAACTAGTGGGGGTGAGGATTTAATAATATGGGTAACTGTCAAACCACTGTGCTGCATATATGAAACCAATATAAGATTGTATATCAATGACACTTCAATAAAGAATAAAATAAAATGATGGCTATTAGAAGAGCATAAGAAGAAATAGATATGGTCAAAGATGTGAGCATATCCAAGTTTTTTTTTGTAATACATAAAAAAGAATATATTAAAGAATTATACCACTTAAGTTCTGGGTAAACTAAGCAGACAATGACCAAAAAAACTACATTTTGATAATCAAATCACTCCTTAAATGAGTGTATAACTTAAGCTTGCTTACCACTGTTTGATATGCCAACACCTTGAATTTCCCAGGTGGTCAGAGAATCAGGTAGCACAATTTGCAACTGGTTTCTGAAAGTTAAAATGTTGATATTCAAATACAGTGGAACATTGATTAACCCAACTTGACAGCATTAATTAACAGAATTTTTGTTTCATACTGCCTTAGAAGAAAGAAAAAAACTCACAACAAAACAAAATCATATTAGGTATTAAGGAAAAACCAAGCAAGAAACATATATTCAGGATCTCTTCTATTTGTTCTACATTTTTAGATATTTCACTTATGTGATGAGAGTTCATATGTAGAAGGATGCCTCTGAAACATTGCAAACTCAAAAAGTGCACAACGAAGAAAAGATTATGTGCATTGCGTAGTAAGTTTTAAAATAAGGAAGCAAAATAATGCATTTTAACACTGCTCATGACAAAGCTGACGTAACTAAAATTTTCTGCTTAAAACTGAGCTTAAATAGTTATTCATTCAATAAACAGCTATTGTCCACCAACTTTTTGTCAGGCATAGGTATAAATACTGAGTACACAGCACTTAAAAGATATGGTCCTGCTCTCAAACAATTTGTAATTTAGTGGAAGAAACAGTAGGCAAATAATTGCAATTTTCTGTAATAACTGTACCAATAAAGCATTTAAATAGTTCAGAAGCAGTGCATTGATTCAACACATTTATTTCAGTGCCTCTACAAGCTGGACCCTGTGCCAGGTGCTAGATATAAAACGGTAATCTGAATTTAGTCTTCATCCTGGAGTTACTTTTACTTACACTTTAATGTGGAAGACAGGCAAATTAATCTAATCACTGGTAGGGTTGGGGGCAGTGGTGGGAAGGCTTACCATACATAGAAGTGCTAGCTAAGGGGCAATGTCAGCTGCGGTAGATAACATTATAGACAAAGAATTACGGGGGACAAGGGTGGAGACAAGGAGACCCATTATAAGACTGATGCCATGCTCGGAACTCAGTGTCTTGCCTGCTCCATGGAGAGTCAGCGCTTTGAGCTTCCTGGGAAGGGAGATGCTCAGGGACTTGGCACTGTAAATCACTGTTTCAGTGCCTGGTACAGAGTAGGCATTCCATAAAAATGTGTTGAATAAAGGACTTTAACAAGAAGAGAACTTTTCTTTTCATCAATCAATGTTTGTTTTATAGTACAGATATTTCAGGCTGAAAACAGCTGCTTAATATAGTGTATAGCACACAGTTGTGTCCAGTAAAGGCTTACTGAAGTTAAATGAAATTAAATGGAAGGGTACCCTTCTTCCCTAAGAGTTAACCATGCCTCAGAAACAATTACTGGAACAAATCACACATTAAAAAAAATAATAATAATAAGGCAAAATAACACAAAATTTAACCCAATAGTATTGTCTTAAATTTTACATAAACTATTAGGAAATGGGTAGTTTCCAGATTTTTGGCCATAATATTTTCATTTTCCCACATTTTTCAGAGGAATATCAAAGAAGTATACTACCTTCTGGTGACATGATGAACTTCCCATAACCAGCTTTCTGGAAAATAGCTCCTTATTTCTGGCTTGGTTACTGGTAACAGGGTCTTTATATCTAGGGGAAAAAAAGCATATTTGATTATGGAAAAACAACATAAATTCTACTTAGAACTGAATTTTAAAATATGGACATTAATCTATAACTTAAGCATTTTATGAAGTGTCAATGAAACATTTTGTTTAGTAATTAAAAAATAGAACTATAAAAGCCTTAGAAGTTCTCCACTAATATCACTGACAAAACAAGGTATAAAAATATCTTTAATTATTTGTTTTTTAAATTGCAAAATCTTTAGTGTTTCTGAATTACACAAGACACTAATCAGTCTATAAAGTTATCTGCATTTTTATAAATGTAATAATTGTGTTTATATTAGGAGGTTTATATGATTCTCTGCCTTACTTCAGAAATTTACTTGCATTTCCTCTAATAAAAATAGAACTTCTGCTTCTGTACAAGATGTACTAATAGGGATTGGAGTTACCTTTCTGCATTAAAAAATTTAAAAAACAGACACACTCTAAAAAACAACACTTTTGTTACTTTAGTGCTTAAGTGATCCAGGACTGTGATCCCGGAGAGAAGGGAGACAAATTAGGTGAAACCTAAAATTGTCCAGGTTTACTGTCTGGAGGCAGTTTACAAAATGCAGAGGAGAGAGAGAGGAACCTATGCAGACCCTTGCAAGTTGCGGCAACACACATGGGAGTTTTGGGGAACCAAGCTGTCTAGAATGAGGGGCAGAGTACCAGAGAGGAAGGAGCTGCAGAGACTGAGTTCCATGCAGCTGAAGCCAAACCAGATGATTTAGTTGAAAAATTGGACAATGAAAATATACATATTTGATTTCTCATGAAAACACTGCCTAAAATAAGCAAAAATCTGAAAGCAACCTATATTTATCTAATAACATGGCTTTGGTAAATGGCCACAAGAATTTGTTTGCAGAAATATATCCATTCAGATGGATGATGTTTTAAGACATACTTTTAGGCAAAACAGTAAGATTATTTAACAGGAGCTGTGCCTGCTTTTGTTTGTTTTGTTCTGACTATATATAGATGAAACAAAAGTCATGGCGATGGTAGTACAGAATAGAGAATATAGTTAATGACTCTGTAACGTCTGTAAAGACAAACAACAACAAATGTTGGCGAGGTTGTGGAGAAAGGGGGTCCCTCCTACACTGCTGGTGAGAATGTAAATTAGTTCAACCATTGTGGAAAGCAGTATGGAGGTTCCTCAAAAAACTAAAAATAGAAATACCATTTGACCCAGGAATTCCACTTCTAGGAATTTACCATAAGAATGCAGCACTCCAGTTTGAAAAAGACAGATGCACCCCTATGTTTATCGCTGCACTATTTACAATAGC